TAAATGATAAACATCGGGTTATTAGTTGGCCCGCCTCTATTTTTATATAAAAAAAACAAAAACAATCTAACAAATAAATTGTGTGTATTATTTTTGTTGTAAATTTTCAATGAACAAAGAAAATGGATAAATTCAATTTCATATATTTAGGTTTTATTAAATTTCTAATCATCACTTTTTAAAACCACAAACATTGCTAATGACCTTGGTAAAGTCATGAATCCTCTTCATCTTCTCTCCCCTCCCACCAGTTAAAGGTAAATAGCAAGACAGACGGGGTTCTATAGCCTTGGATTGCAACTCGTCTACGGGAAAAAAAAAAAAAAAAAAATGGTAATTTACTGCGGGGAAAAAAATCTGCCTCGTCAGTCATGTATCGAAAGGTACATGATCGCCTAAACGTGTATCACGCATGGCACATAACTGAATGGATAGCGGCTCGGATTGAGGAATCGGAGTTCGAATTCCAATGAAATCCATTACATTCACTTACGTGCTAATACCCTTGGGAAAGGTATGAATCCCTTTCATCTCCCCTACCTCGATATGGGTAAATAGCAGGACAGACAGGGTTCTATAGCCGTGGATGGCAACTGGTCTACCGCAGAAAGAAATGGCAACCTACTACGGGAAATTCCAGTCGAATCCATTACATTCACTTACGTGCTAATACCCTTGGGAAAGATATGAATCCTCTTCTTCTCCCCTCAACTATGGTTAAATAGCAGGACAGACTAGATTCTATAGCCTTGGATGGCAACTGATCTATCGCAGAAGGAAATGGCAACCTGTTGCGGGAAAAAATATACCTTGTCAGTCATGTATCGAAAGATACATGATCGCCTAAGCGTGTATCAAGCATGGCACATGACTCTCCGACTGAATTTTAGTAACATAAATGGTAGATTCAGAAAGAAGAAACGAGAAAATTTAGTCGAGGAAGGCATGAATAAAGGACTAACCTTTTTAACGTCCCCCATCAGTAGCTCTTAACTTGAAATGACCCTTGTGCTCATTGCGTTGATAGACAATTAATAGCTAAGTCCTTTCTTAGTACATTAACGGACAGATCCGTGACATTAGCTTGTCAAACGCCACTCTTCGGCGGGGGGGGGGCGTAGATATTTAAGCTGCTTAGTCTCATCTGGCACAAGGCCACGTTAGTTGGACGACTATACGACTGAAGTGTATGGTCTGAAAGCCTTCACAACGGCATATGAGGCTTCCGCCTGACACAGAGCCAACAAGGAAGAGAGGCAAAATTGAATAATGCGAAGAGAAGATGGAATTTATACAAAGAATGAAAAACGAGAAGAAAGAAAGAAAGAAAGAAAGAAAGAAAGAAAGAAAAAAAGAAAAAGATTAAAGTAGAGCATTTATGTATAAGTATAGGCGATGAAAATGAACTGAAGGAAAAAGGAATAAGAAAGAAAGAAAAAAGAAATAACGAAAGAAAGAAAGAAAGAAAGAAAGAAAGAAAGAAAGAAAGAAAGAAAGAAAGACAGACAGACAGACAGACAGACAGACAGAAACTGGTGAATGTAGAAAGTCAGAAAAGGAGGGCGAAAACTGAACCAAATGAAAGAATGAAAGAAAAAAGAAAGAAATAGATAGAGAAGAACATTTAATGAATGCAGAAGTGTAGAAAATGAATTGAACTAAAGGCAGAAAGATGAAAAAGAAAGAAAGAAAGAAAGAAAGAAAGAATGAAAAAGAAAGAAAGAAGCTGGTGAATAGTGAAAGTTAGAAATGGGGGAAGAAAAGAGGCCAAATGAAAGAAAGAAAAAGAGGACGAAAAAAGAAAGAAAGAAAGAAAGAAAGAAAAAAGAAAGAAAGGGAGAAAGAAAGAAAGGGAGAAAGAAAGAAACTGGTGAATGGTGAAAATTAGAAAAGTTGAAAGAAAGAAACGAATGAAAAAAGCATCAATAAAAAAGGAAAGAAAAATAAAAAATGGCGGGAAAGAAGATGTTCAATATGGAAAAGTAGAAATGGAGAAAGAAAGGAAAGAAAGCCTGATTGAACTAGAGAAAGGAGGGATGAAAAAGAAAAGGAGAGAAAAAAGAAAGCAAGGAAAGAAAGAAGAAAGGTAAAAAAAAAAAATCTAGAAAAGAAGGAAAGGTAGATGAAAATACCGTATGATGAAAAAAAAAAAAAAATGAAAGTGAAAATAAAGACCAGTAAGAATGAAAAAAAAGAAAGAAAATGAAAAAGTGATTGATTAAAAGAACGAATGAAGGAACGCCAGCAAGGAAGGGAATGTGTTCGAATGAATGCAAGGAAGTAAAAAAAAAAAAATACCCCAGACATCTTAAATATTCGATTTAGATGAAGGCTAGAAATAGCGAAAGAAAATAAAAGCCGAATGAATTAAGAGACAAATGAAAGAAAGACACACAGAAAGCCGAAGGACTGAAGGAAAAGAAACGAGAGTAAGAAGAAATGAAATAAAGATCGTTGGGCACAGGAAGCGGAAAGGTGGGCCTCCAAGAGAGGTTCTCATTTGTCAACACTGTGGTAATTCTTGCGTTAAATGATGTTTGAAATTGCGAACGGGCGGGGATCCAATATGAAGCCGAGTCATAGCTACTCGCTGGGTGGGAATAGCTATCTTAGATTATATGTGGGCTTTTATACGAAGGTTTAGAGTGTCTAAATGCAAGCAAATGAGTATTTGTGTACAGAGAGGTATGTGTCCGGGAAGGGAACATCATCAATATCACATTTTAATATAACTCCAATATGCTAAACATGTTGGAATTATTTCTCATACGAAAACAGAGCCCGATTTATCATCGTATGGTAATATATATATATATATATATATATATATATATATATATATATATATATATATATATATATATATGATTTAGAAGGTTATATTAGTGCCAACGAGAAAAAAAATGTGTATATTAAAAAGAAGACAGAAACTGTAAGTGCTTTTGGTTGTAATGTGGATTTTAAAAAAATATGCTTTATTTTCCATAATTTTGCTACACGGGTTTCCGGTTTCGCGACCTTCATCAGGCAAAACGTGGAGATTTCCACACATTATTAAAAATAATAAATTTTTTTCTTATGTTTTTCGAGGTTAAATATTCTTGATATGAGACATTCTCTTTTTAGTGCGTTAGTAACCCAAATGTCTTTCTTGAACTGGTAGTGAAAAGTTCTGCGTGAAGGGTTATAAAACAAGTAGGATTGGTCCGAGAGTTGGTGAAGGAGTTATCGGCATTCTTATCTTTTAATGACCGTTGTATGTTCGTAAATCTATTTCTTGTGTTTTAGTCAGCATTGAGTGTATATATGTATATTCCCTCCTCATACATACACACTGTCTTATGAGGAATTAATAAACACATTTGTACACATACACAAACACACACACATACACACACAAACACACACACACATATATATATAGATATATATATATAAAATCAGAGACGTTCCGTCTTGGTAGGCAAGGTAGGCAATGCCTACTCTGAATGAAATAGATCAGCAGCTATATTTTCCTTCTGTGACGCAACGCGCATCTAATTCAATGGAACGATGAAAGTTGCTCTAAATATCATATATAAAATTTTATTTGTTTTATAGATTTCCTACTTAAAGGTCACAATCTGTCTACCCTGAAATTACTGAATTACACACACACACACACACACACACACACACACACACACACACACATATATATATATATATATATATATATATATATATATATATATATATATATATAAGAATAATCACACATAGAATTAATCAGAAGTATCAATGCGATTATTGGCGACATCCGTCACTAGAAAACATAATATATGCATTAAAATCCTGTTCATCCATAGTGCGAGTTTTGATCCTTGAAGAAAAACTTGTTGTCTGTAGTTTTTCAGTTTATTTGATGTTAAAATGCTAGTACTTACGGACGGTCTTCCATCCATCATCAGGCATGTGTTTTTTTCTTATAAAATCAAAAACTTGAGACGATATATCTGTATGTCGACCGAAAGATGTTTTTTGAATATCTGCTATTATTGACGGTTGTGTAAGATCTCGGAACGTGCAAAGACGCAACGCTAAGTTTTTCAAAATTTTTAAGTGAGAATTTTATTTAAATATTTCTTGTGATGTGTTAAATCCACGTATTCTATTTTTACAAGTGTATTCAGTTTTTATGTCATGAACTAAGTATATAGTTCAATAATATAGTGTAATGTCATAATAGTAATTTTTTTTATAGGAATTTTTATGTACTGTGGATCGATAGTTTTTTAATAAACATAAAACATTAGGCAGCATATGATTTACATACAAGAATTAATCACACATAGAATTAATCAGAAGTATCAATGCGATTATTGGCGACATCCGTCACTAGAAAACATAATATATGCATTAAAATCCTGTATATACAGACTCGTGGCCTGAAGATACTGTCCACCATGAAACAGCCTTTTGCCTCTAAGTGTTGACTACAATGTTCACTTTTAAATTTACATGCTCTCTCTCTGCTACTGTGCACTTTATCCCATAAATATAGCACACCTTGAGATATATTTTTCATATATATATATATATATATATATATATATATATATATATATATATATATATATATATATATTATAAAATTATCTAGCGGTTAATTGGTGCATTTTTTCTTCATACGTTATTTTTATAGATATGATTTATACGTTATTTTTATAGATATGATTTATTTAATTAAATGGTCTATTTTTTAAAATTAAACATTGTTAATTACATTTAGCGGCCTGAATGTTGGAGAAATTTCGTAGGAAATATGCGTTTTCCAACGGGAATCGAACCATTAATGTAATCTAATCTCTGTGGCTGTATGGTTAACTGCACGTTAGATCAAATGACGATGTCCAGTGTACTGGATGAAGTTTATTCATTTTCACTGACGCTGTCACACATCGAGAAGGTCTCTATGTACACCATCATTTTCCTGTCAGCCACCTGAAATAGAAAATTATATTATTTAGGGATGACAAGACTTTCGGACCACACTGTCTCTCTCTCTCTCTCTCTCTCTCTCCCTCTCCCCCCCTCTCTCTCAATATATATATATATATATATATATATATATATAATATTATATTTCGCATTTCTTGCAAATCTTTCCCGCAATTTGGAGTTTCACGGTTTATTTGGGGGGGGGTCATACAATCGTCGGTAGGTTGCAAAAGACCGGCAACTTAATTTTGAATTTGGAGGCCATTACGTGGCCCATATATTATATTGTGGGACTCGGGGAGCAGACAAGTGTAAGTAGAAAAGATGGTGTGCCACCATGAGCCTAATACCGCCATAAAGGTCATGCTCTCCATAAGACCCGGATTTATCCATCATGGAAGAGAAGGAAGTGGCCAAAAATCTAAATATTGTTCCAGAATAAACATTTGTCTGTATACCTCCTGACGGACATGTGTTCCTGTCTCTCTTGCTTCGCGTTTTCTCATCACCCAGGCCCTGAAAGATGGCGATTGTCTCGACCATACTCGTGTTACATTGATCCGTTTCTGCCCAACACGTGATCGCTACTCAAAATGTCGCACTCAGTTGTGGAATCTGGTTTGCCGGCTTCTTTCATCTTGCAACAGGAGGAGGACAGAATCGTGACATTTTTGTACTTTTCATTACTTATACTTGTAAAATCTCTTCCGCCCACCTCTGTAATGTAATGTTATGCTTGGCCGCTCGTATCCAAGAATGGCTGTCTGCTAGAACAGAAGCCAATGCCTATTGCAGACGATAAATGATCTAGATATTATTTTTAATGTCTTTCTCTCGTCCCTTCTTCCGTCTTTATATATACATACATACATACATACATATATACATACATACATATATATATATATATATATATATATATATATATATATATATATATATATATATATATATATTGATATATATATTTAAAGACTGTTGATTTTAAAATATACAAAAAAATGTGGTGCGTCTGTCGACGGATAATGATTTAAGTACAGTATTTTTATTTTTAAGTTTCTTCAAGCAGAAATTTTTTTAATTAAAATATTTTTTAAATATAATGGTCACAATGTTTCGAAAAAGAAAGATGGCGTCAATTTAACACATAACATTCTGGCGTCAATTTAAACTTACGCCTTTTTTTCATATATTTTGTCTATTTTGCTTAAACTTTGTTTTTTTTTATTTTGATTTCAAATTAAAACTTGAACATTTTAGTGAAATTATCTCTTTATAAAATTATAGTTTAAATGCATCAAATAAGAAAAGGAAGATGGGAATTTAAACTATTTACACCCTTGTGCAAATTAACTGAAACAAAATTAATAATTCCGTTATTATTTACTTCTTTTTCGTACGTTTCCAATGAAACATGCCCCAGTGCACATGTTTGTACTTCATATGTCCATTCCACAAAGGTCTTTCCTTGCATATTGACCACAGATTCTCGATTGGATTTAAATCAGGAGAGTTTCCGGGCCAATCTATAGTACTTTGTTTTGCTCAGTGGTAAGACTTGGCAGTGTCTTCGTGCAGGATTACAATTTTAGTAGGCTTCCTTGGAGTAACGTCCATCGCAGTGAATGGCCGTAGGACAACTAATCGACAGTCGAGACAACAGTGTCTGGATGTGATGAAAATATGATGCTATCTCGGATAATGCAATATTTTTCAAGGCCAAACAAATTTCATCATACACCCCAAAAAATATATTCAAATATATGCAAATGAACTAATCTGAGGAAAAATAGAAATTGATTACACCCGGTCACTCCAGTGGGTCTAAAATTGACCGAATGGTGAAAGAAAGGAAAATAAAGCTGTTGTTTCATTTAATTTGCATAAGAGTCTATCTATCTATCTATCTATCTATCTATCTATCTATCTATCTATCTATCTATCACTCCTTCTCTCTTCTCTCTCTCACTCTTTCTCTCTCTCTCTCTCTCTGTCTGTCTCTCTTTATATATATATATATATTAGACTGCCTGTGACTGTAATATATATATGCGTGTATCTATCTATCTATCTATCTATCTATCTCTATCTATCTATCCCTCTATCCCTCTCTCTCTCTCTCTCTCTCTCTCTATATATATATATATATATATATATATATATATATATATATATATATTTAAACAAAAGAATATGCTGTGATTAATATTTTGTAATATATATATGCGTGTCTCTATCTATCTATCTATCTATATCTATCTATCTATCTATCTATCTATCTATCATTTTCATTCCCTCTCTCTCTCTCTCTCTCTATCTATATATATATATATATATATATATATATATATATATATTATTTCTCATAAGCGATCTGCCTGTCATTGTAATAAAATTGTTCCTGCATGCCAGTTGTTCCAATAAACAGAATTTTGCCATCGCTTTCCCCAATTTCCCTCCTTCACTATCTACCCCACCTCTCTCTACCCCCGTCTTTCTCTCTTTCCGTCTCTCTCTCTT